GTGCAGTGCACCCTTTCTGGGGGATGGGCATGCTTGTAGCTCAGTCTTGGGTGGTGCAAAGGTAATATATGTAACCGAAGTGTTTGTACCCCTGTAACATTCTGAAATAAAAAAATTAATATTTAAAAAAAAAAGGAAATTAGAATTCCTCTTCCCTGAGGTAGGTTATAAAGACCAGAACCCTTTTTCCCCCCAAAGCCAGCCATAAAACACAAAATTATTCTGTGTAAAATCTGGCCATAAAGAAATTGCCTGACCTACCTTGTTTGGCTATAGGTCATAAGACCCCCATTCTATTGAGGGTCCTACTCCATACTCAGAAGGAATGTATGTTCAAAGAAGCCAAGACAAATCTTGACAGGCCTTTCTGGATTTCCTCACTCAGTTTATTAGCATTAGATCCTACCTTTCTTATCTAATTATATTTCTACACAACTGTCTACACTTTGTTGAACCCAAGCAAAAAAATGGAAAATATCCCTTGTTTGTTTGGGTTTTTATTCTGAGGGCTCCATGTATACATATTAAATAAATGTGTGTGCCTTTTCTCCTATTCATCAATCTGCCTTGTGTCTGTGATATTGGTAGTGAACCGTTAGGGGGCCAAGGTTACAAGGAATAATGAATATACTTGAGATAAAGGAAACATAAAGAAAGAGAAATTACAAACATAACGAAAGAGTAAATGACTATAAAATGATCATCAATAGAACAAAAAAAATCTCTTAAAAGTAAAATAAATAATTAACAGAAGAGTTGGAGGGAAAAATTGATTCAGCCATTCAAAGAGTAAACATTAAAAATAGAAGATAGAAAGTGACAAAACGGTGATATAAAAATTATTATAAGTCCGGTCCAGTCATTGAAATGTGTGAATTTTAGGAATTAAAAATACTGATGACAGTGAAAATGACGAAGTATATTACACACACACACACACACGCACACACATGCACACACATGCTTTTACACATGCACATACACACAATTTTCCAAAAACTGATGAACAGTGTTTCTAGCACAATGGAGGGAAAAATTAATAAAATCACTTCTTTTAGAAGTTTCATAAAATTTAAGACAAATATGAGCTCAAATCATCTAATTACTTTTTAAAAAGTCATATTTAAAAACAAGGTGGTGTTGGAAGACTTGTCAAATGGCAACACCGAAGAAAAGATAGAAATACCTTTGAAATTATGATAAAAATTAAGTCCAATAAATAATTCTATAGAAAACCAAAATGAGAATAAATTAATGATTTTTACACATGCAAAATATCAATTTATTTTCCATGTGGTGTTCTTCAAGAAACTATTGGAATAGTTTTTCCATCAAAATAGGTTAGTAAAGGAAGATGGATAAGGTTGGAATCTCAGAAAAGAAGAGAGGTGACAGGAGTCACCATGACAAAAAGGAAAATATATTCCAAGAAGATGATGAAGTATCAGGTCTGAAGCTGCTTTTCCAGAAATAAGCCCACAGGAACAAGAGCTCTGGTGTCTTTAAGAAGTGGATAATATAAGCTATTTAGTCTGTCACACTGTATCAGGAGAAGATTTTAACTCCTAGCAAAAATTTGGACATAGCATATTGATAAGTTTATAGAAAATTAAACAAATGGCAATGAGAACAATTACCAACATCAGAAAAAAACAAATTTTTAAATAAAAAAGACTGCTTAATTATAGTATTCTACATGATTGTATTGTGAATAATAATATTTGTATAATCCTTATAATGTAAATTGTTTTGAACCATCTAAAATTTAGAATATAATTATATTGGGAGTTTGAGAGAAGGGCACGAACATGAGTGTGTGTGAGAAATGGAAAACAGTAAAGGTGGAAGTGCTGTAAGTGATCGAAATATTGATCATTGCTTTTGAAAAGTCATTGGATAATATTTAACTCTAAAATATCAAAAAATAGCAGTATTAACTTTCTATTTACAAATATGGAGGTGATTGCTATAATAAATTATTTCACAATTTGAAAGTAGTTACCAATTAGATATGAGAAAAGAGATGTTTAGGGCAAGAGTGGATAAAAGAAAATCACTAGTTTTTATAATGATTTTTATGTAAATATTTGATTTCTTAAAAAAACAAATATTTGCATAATTTAAAAATGGTTCTTTATTTCATCCATTTACTTTGTCTCTCAGTGGCTTTGTCAAGAATGTTTTTCAAATGACTCTACAGTCCATTGTAATTATAGCTTCTCAGATTTTACTCATTATTCCCCTTCTACATATAATTATTTTCTGCTTTCTTGCATTAACCTAACCTACATATTTGTCAAAATCAAATAAAATCCCATAATGAGTGTTTTACCAAGCCTGTGTGTTTGTGCAACCATTCTATCATTCATCCATACATTCATTCACTTATTCATAGAGAAGTTTAAATTTTTCCCCTGAAGTTTGGATAATTTGAGTCTATAAAACAAACTGATAACAGATTATCAAGAAAAAAATCAATTTTATTACATGCACATGCATGCAGGGGACTTATATAGAATATAAACACTTAGAGAAAAGCTAGAGGATTAGTACTTTTATACCATCTTGAGGATACAGAGGGTATACCGGCTTGGAGGATGGCCAAATAGGATATGGAAAGGAGAGAAGAGAAAAGATCTTAATATAAATGCATTTATTAAGAGATACATTTCTTCATAAATAGATAGGATAAAACATAGCTAGGAATGAGAATGAAATGATACTAGCATCTACTTTCGACTAGGAACTTGGCACACATTTTATATAATTTAAAAATTATTTTCATATTTTATTCCCATTATACTCTACTTATTTATAGATAAGTAGAGTAAATCTTAGTGACTTTTTTGAAGTCACAAGCTGAAAGAGTTTAGAAACTAAAATTTAATTCCTTGTTGCTCAAATACCAAAGTCCATACTGTTCCACAGCTGCTCCATATATGTGAGTAGAACGAGAACAAAGTCTGCATAAAATAGTACCTTTGTTCTTTAACACGTCCTTTCATGCTGCTTCACATTGTGTTTGTGAATGATTGAGTGGCAGCGCAGAGGCTGAAAGCAGACATTGTGGATATCAAAGAGAAAATTTACCTAATTCATCATTGTGAAAGGTCTAATATGGAGTAACTATTTATAACAATCAATTCTCTCTCTCTATCTAACATACACGTGCATATATAGCATGTAAGTGTGAAGTGAACGGTTCCCCTTGGCCCTCCAAAGATTCTCTGAAAAATCATATCACACAAAGCAGACCTATTGGAGAAAAGGCACACAAATTTATTTAACATGCATATGTGGGAGCCTTCAGAATGAAGGCTCAAAGAAACAGAGGAAATTGTCAATTTTTATGCTTGGGTTCAACAAAGTGTGGGCAGCCCTGTCAAAATATGATTGGACAATGATCTAATGTTAATAGACTAAGTGGGCAAACCCAGCAAGGCCTGTCTGTGTAGATTCTTCTTGTCCTCAATGAGCATGCATCCTTCCTCTGGGTGTGGGACAGGACCTTCTCTGGAATGGGAGTTTTATGTCCTACAGTCAAAAAAGTTAGGTCAGATAATTTCTTTATGACCAGTTTTTACACAAAATAATTTTATATTCTATGGTTGGCTTTTGAGGAAAGGAATTCCAGGTTCTATGACCCGCCATGGGGAAGAACAATTCTAGGTTCTATGACTAGCCCCAGGGGAAAATGAGAACAAGAAACTGGAGGTCAACATGTGGTCAGGGAAAAACTTTTGCTTCTGAGGCCTTCATTTTGGGGTACTATTTTCTGAGCCTCAACAAGCACTACACCATCACACAGTTACAGAGATTATTTTATTCAATCATTTACTACAATAGAAAGAACTTTAATGAGGAACATCTTAAGGAAAAGGAAGCAGGCCGTGGATGCTTTAGAGGCAAGTAAACATGGAACATGGATATCGTTGGTAATTCTCATGGAAGTCATGGGGAATAATAGAGAAGGTCTTATTTTGGAATATGTGAGAGCAAATGGCCCTGGCTGTTAGCTCTTTCCTTGAAAGACAAAGGATGATGTGGGGGATATTGGAGAAAAAAATTTTATTTTAGGACACAAGACACTTAGGTAAAGTTCAACATTCACACACAACACATACACACACACACACACACACACACACACACACACAGATCTAACAAGTAACCTCATTAACATGTTTGACAAAGAAAGATATCTGAGTTTTCTCTATTCTGTAGAATTTCTCTTGTTTTATTATGATAATTTATATGAATATATTTTATGAGAGCTCCAAAGAAACCTGAAGAGAGGTTGACATATTTCAGCAGCAGCTCTCTTGATAATATGATACAAGCTCTGTCAATGATAGTACATTTCAAGAGATCAATTTGAATGAAATATAAGCGTTTGCTGGAGGCTCTCAGTTCTGGAAATTTCTGGGTTTTTTTACGTATTTGTTTTTTATGTCGAGTACTCTGTGCTTCTTATCTCAATTGTTTTTCTAATATTCTTACTAGCTTTTCATTACTAAGAAAGTGATTTCTGATCCTTTTTTTCATTGCCTACTACATCCACAATCACTATGATCTATGCAGGATGACATATATTTTGCTTTTGTTGGTAGCATTATCTAGAGATTGAAAGGCAGCAGAGGTATAAATAATCCTGGATAATCCCATAGACAATATATATTTTTTTTAAATTTCAAAGTAACTTGTTTATCTTTTTGTATTTGAATGCTAGTTTTAAGAAGCAAAACCAGCTACCTCCACACTCATCCTGCCCTGAGAACTGAAAGTATACTTTTCTCTTTACATTAGCATGACCTTGCTATCAGTCCATCTTCAGTAACATGATTGTATTTTTCTAGGGCTGTGCTAAGAAAATTATTTTGTTGTTCAGTATAAGAATTACCTGAAAGGCCCATCAACTTTTCGATGGAAAATGTCAACAGGTAATTCTTTCCCTGACATTCTTTGAATCCCTCACTATACAATCTTTGCTTTGCAGTTTTCCATAAAGCCTAAACTGTTGTGTCAAGTCTTTGCATTGAAAGGCCTATCAACAACCAAACTTCCAATTTTCAATACATTCCAAACTTCTCCCTCTAAGACACTGCTGAGGCTTTTTGAGGTAATTTCTCCCTTGTTATGGTAAGAAACAAACTCAGTTTTCTTTTATTAATAGGTGTGTTAGTGGTATTTGGGGAGACGGCTTCTGAGTCCTTGATTGTGCACAGTAACATTGTTGGAGAAAAGAAAGTTAAGCTTAAGAATTCACATGGAGTGTGTTCTATCTCTTGCCTCTGCTAGGCTATAATGCTTTATGCACAAAAAATACCACTTAGGAAAACAGACTTTAGGACTTACCAGTCATTTAGCTAAATGGTGAAAAATTTCTTCATATTCTTTGCCAGAAAATGATGTGATACAAGGAAGCAGACAGATGTGAAATTAGAAGGAAATGAATAGTCTAAGTCAACAAATGATTTTCAGCTGGCCCTCTCTCTAATACCTCATTTCTATTTTCCATTTGCTTAATAGTTGTACAAGTTTGGGAATGTTACTCTGTCTTTTAAACACTATTTGTATTCCATTTAAAATGAAAGTAATAATATTCCTGCTTCACAGGATGACTGCCGAAATTAACCCTGTGGTTTGCATATAGAAAGTGTTTTTCATGTTTGAATGAATTTCTTTTGCAAATAAAAACAATGTGTGTTACTTGCTTTACACATGACTTCCCCATTCTTTTATTCAATTTTATGAAAAAAAGATAAAATTGAAGAATCCATAGTATAAAACAAATTCTTTGTTTGTATTGTTTAAAAGCTAAAATCAAGTAATAAGATGATACATCTGAGAGGCAAAAATGAAAACAATCAGAGGGAAAGCAAAGATAATTATATGAATAACTGCTTTTACTCTACCATTGACCACTGCCTACTCCCTCACATACACATACCTGACAAATAAGAGGAGATGAGCACAGGGAGTTGATAGAACTTCCCCTAAAATTTCAAAGAAACTGAGGGAGGACTAAAAGAATATACATTTCAAGCTGGAGTGGTATAAAAGCAGAAGAAATGTTTACAAAATAACAAGCATTAAATTCTTAAAAATCAAAATTATAGCTCTCATATAGATATAAAAATGAGCCCATGTTAAAGATAAATAACATCTTATTTCTCTTTCCTCATTAATGAGCTCATAAATAAGAGCTTATTAATGAGGAAACTTGTAAGATGTTACATTCAGTTCAAAGCAGACTATAAATGTGGTGAGTCTATAGATTAACAATATTGAAATGAGTGTACAAATAAAAGCTCAATTGTTTTTTTCTTCCCACACTGGTGAAGGAAATCAATAGAACCTCTACTAGATCAGAGTTATTTGCATGTCTGTAGGTAATAAATTATTTTTCTGTAATTTATTTACAACATAAAGGTTCCAAAACTGCTCGTACTCAGTGAAATACTAGAATAGAATAAGCTGAAATGGGGCATTCTAGATAAAGCATACCTTTCCACTGAAGCACAAACTGTTCCCATATATCTGCTCACTTAGTTAAAAAATAATCTCAAGAATGGTTATTATAGGAAACAAAATAAAGCTGGCCTGACTGCATTTGGCATGATTAGTTTCATAGGTACAAAAGACTCTTTGCATATCATAAAGATCTTCTTAAATTTACTTTGCTGGAAGTTTTCAAAAAAAAATCACACATTAGACTTTTAAGAGCCTCTATTATTTGCTATCTTGGATGTAGAAAGCCAACCCAACACTAAGAAAGTTTCTTTATGAGATTTGAACTCCAGTACTTATAACTTTGGATAATTTCCTCTTTTCTCGAAGTCCCCAAATACCCAAAGGTGCCTGGCCTTCCATCAGTGAAGTCCCTTACCACCTATAATGCTGGGCATTGTAAGTCAGGTACTAGGTCAATTTTCCTGGGAGAGGTTTTTAAATATTAAACTCCAAGAATCAACCATAGCTCCTTTAAAGTGGCTGGTGTTGGGGTAAAGGGAATACTTTCCTTTGCCATCTGAAGTTTTGCTGAAAAATCAACTGACAAAAGGCAGATTAATAGGAGAAAAGGGATATACATTTATTATTAATGACATGCATGCAGGGAAAACTACCATCATTACCCTAATCCTCCAGTGAAGTACAAGGCTTATATACCTTATTTGCATAGGAGAAGAAGGAGATGAGGAACATAGACAGTTATTTTGAAGGGCAGTAATTGATTATTAGGGAAAATAAATGGACCAGAAAGACATAACTTGTAATGATTAACTTGTAAATGATTCTCTGCGAAAACTGAGTAAGCCAGACAGGCAGGCATTATCTAGTGAGAAACTCCATCCATGTGTGGTTCCATTCCTCAGTCTTCTTTTTTGAAACGCATAATGAGATTTTTAGGGAGAGGATAGAAGGCAATTACGTTTCTTCTGGTAAGAAGCTTTCTTGGTCAGGTGAGAAAATTCCAGAGAGTCCCTCCATGCACTGGGAGGCAGAAGAACAAGACAAAGTTAGAAGGACTTTGATTCTGAGGCTTTTATTTGAGGACTTTCAGTTTTCAAAAGCACTCAGTATACCCAAGCCACATTATTTTGGGGAATTATTTTCTGCACCCCAACGCTGGTTATCCCTGATTAAATGTCCTTCATCATTAAATACCACAATCCAGATACGGTCTGGTTGCACAGCCAGTACTCCCAGGTAATACAGTGGTAATCAATCCCACCCTTCTAAACAAGAGGAGAGACTTGGACTTATGCAAATAACTTAATAGCCATCTAAAGGAAGAAAACTTGATATGATCCTCTGAACTCTTGGGGGAAGAGAGGAGAGTAAAGAGTTAGATGTCATTTAAAAACATTTCCTTTCAGTTTACAAAGGTATAATCTACTAAAATATTATGGGCAACAATTACATTAACAAGAAAAAACTTTATTATATAAAAAGTAGAACATTAAAACAACACTGATGATATTTCAAATAAATAGAACAATAACATTTCCCTTGCTAGTCTATATAATTCATTCCTATGCTGCTGGATACTGGGTTGGCAGTCTCATGAAACCACTTGGAAAGTTGTCTAGGAAGAACTCCAGAAATCCTGACTCAGCTCGCCGGTATGGGGTGATGACATCAAAAGCCTACAACCAAGAGTCTATTCTGTGAAGTATAAATATTTTTAAGTACCTGGTACAGTTCTTTTCCTGGGATTCTGAGGGTCTTGTAAGTAGGAAGGGAGGACCTGCAGAGACTATGTGAATTTAACCAACTTGAATAATCAGCCTGTTTTGCAGCTTCTTATTTTGCAGACTGTTTTTCACAACCCCATGAGGCCTGTGGTGAAAATGAGCTCCTGACGGACCCTGGCAGCCTATAGATGAACTCAAGTGAACTTTCCTCGTCACCATGCTGAAGTCTCCACCCTGGGAGGAGCTATAGCTTCAGGACCACAACGTGAAACCTGTGTGTTACCATCACAACCCACTAAGTCTGTGCCACTGAGAGGTCCCCCACATGTGATGACATATCTTCTTCTTTATCTATCATCTCACAAAACTTCTATACCACTCTCCCTACAGAGACACTGCTTTGGAGAATACTCCTGGTGCTATTTTTACTTGTTACAAGTAATAAAACTCCTACTGAGCACGACCTATGTTTTCACAAAGAGTTGTCACCAGGCACTCTTTTCAGGTGACAGTCCTTTGTGGAAGACACAATCTTCGCAATGTAGATGATTCAAGGGCCCTTAGGCAGGCATCAGAATAACTTACCTATAGATGATTGGGACATAAAATGGCTGCAGTTGATTTTTTTCAATCTGAAGAGAGAAACTGAGGCAAAATTTATATAGGTAAAAAGTTTATTTGGGCCAAATTTGGGGCTTGCAACCTGGAAGACGCAGATCCACATTGCCCTGAATATATGCTCTGATTAGCAGCCATTACAAGTGAGCTTTTAAAGGAAATAAGAAAGGATAATTTTTACTTTGGTTCATTAAAATAACACAAGCTATATATTGTTCTTTGTATCATAATTTCTAAGAACATGAAGACAAAGTGTACAAATTGTAAACTTAATATTTTATGTAATTTATCAGCTAGCTTCAAAACTACAGGAAAGGAAAACATCAACAAAATGGCTTAAAACAGTTGCCCCGAGGCATGGGTGTGAGGTGATGTGACTAAAGTCTCATACTCAGGTCTCTTTGGGTCTAACAAATTTTGCATAGCTCACATAGCTCAGACTGTTTTTATTTCTCTAATTTATTAATGGTAATTTCCAAATTTGAAAGTTTGACAAGATACCATAGACAAGAATGATGCAACTAATAAGAATATTTGAGTGTCTCTGTGGTATGCTAAATACAATAATAAATTCAATCTAAAAAAAGACATTTTAGACAAAATGTGTATAAGCATAATGATTGAGCCTATTTTCAAATAAGATAGTGAATGCCACATCTATATTTTAAATTGAAAAACATAATTCTAAAATAAAATACTGTTGGTATAAGACATAAAAATAATGACTCAAAATAAAAATACTATACCATAAATATAGCAACTGTAGAGAGAAAATGGTAACCCTCATAGGCTCTTAGTTGGAAGGGATCCTTAGTACAAAAGAAAAATTTACAAGAGAAAAAGATACAGAAGTTTATCAGTATGCATATTTGACATATGCATAGAAAACAGCCCAAGAATTAGTATTTCTCATTGAATGACTTTGAAATCCAGCTCATATAGCGTATTCAACAAAGAAGAGTAAATTTCCAGAGAAGGGACAAGACAGAAGAAAAGGACATTGACTCTCTGTAGAGGCACAACTTGGGGCAAGACAAATAAAAGGCAGATAAAGGGTAGTTAAGCTTATTGATGTCAGATGCTCTGCCATTGCCTCCAGGCTGATAAGACTGCAAAGTTGCCTTCAGTCATTAACTTTTGTTCTCCCTGGGAAAGAGGGGAGCAGAATACCTTTTGTCTTTATAAATCTATGCCTTTCTTAGGTAAATAAAGTTAAGGTAGAGACTTTCTCTGCATCTGCTTTTTCTTAACTGCATTCAGCCCACAATCTTTCATATTTTGGAGAGGCATAGTCTGGTGTCCTACACACCTATATGTTTAGATGATGGTTTGGTGGGGATTGCACTGAATCTGGAAATAGCTTTGGGCAGTCTGGGCATTTTAATGATGTTGATTCTGACAGTCCATGAACAAGGGATGTTTTTCTATTTGTTTCCATCATCTATGATTTTTTTCCATTATTGTTTTGTATTTCTTCTTGTAGAGTCTTTTCATGTCCTTCCCTAGGTATGTTTTTAGGTATTTTTTTTTTGTAGCTATTGTGAATGGTAATGAGAACCTGATTTGACTCTCAGTATTACTGTTATTAGTATATAGAAATGCTACTGATTTGTGTACATTAAAGTTGTAACGTGAGACTTTGCTGAATTATTTGTCAATCCCAATAGTTTTTTGGTGGAGTGTTTAGTGTTTTCTAGATATGAGATCATATTGTTACCAAATCTCAGCATTTGCCCCCAAGGCTGTATCAGTTTTGTGGGTCTACTTACATTAACTTGCATACTTTTCTTGATTAGCGGTCATGTTTTCCTACTTCACCTGTTTCTCAATTCTTGACTACATGCCAGAAATTGTGTATTAAAAAATGATAGAAACTGAAGTAAATACTTATCACCAACAAAGACATATCCTTTCCTCTGTCAATGTCCAAAGTGGGATCTAAATCAGTCCAATGTGTGGTTGAGCTGGGCTTAGGAATTGTTGAAGCTATAATCAAATTTGGGTCATCATTGGTTTCATAAACTGATAAGCTATGAGTGTATTATCAGGAGACTGTCTTCAGCAGGGCTTGAAATGTGAGCACGGCTGAGTCTCCAGATTCTCCCTCCCCCTCCTTTTTTTCATCTCCCTCCCTGCTCTTCTCCTTTATAGCCTAGTTGCCAGCTTTATTTGCCACTGATAATTTCTCTGTAGTCTCCAATCCAACCTCCAACTTTCTGCACAGTAGAGCATCAGAGAGATCTCATTCTATTGTCTTTCACCCCACCTTTTTCAGACTCTTTCCTGGACTCACAAATGATCTTGGTGACTCAGGGGTACCTATCTCATTGTCCTGCTCTACTTCAGCTGTTGATACATGCCACTGTGGCCTCAGCAGAAACCTGTGAGGAAGAGTTGGTGGAAAGATACGTTCCCACTATATATGTTGGGCATTTTAGGATTCTAATTCCTCTCACTAACGCATGTGTATCTATTAAAGTGTGCTAAAATTTCAGCTGGCTTCCATTTACGTCTGAATGGGCAGGCTTCTGCTGCCTCCTCTATCATGCACCAGGCATGAAAGTGGCTGTCAGCTACTTTTCTCCTAGCCAGAGATTGTACCGTTCCAGGATTTAGTTTATTTTGATTATTTTTGCTTCCCATCTTTATGATGTGTTTTAAAACTATATTATTTTCTATATTTTTCCAGGATACTTTCTTCTTGTTACAGTGGGATTCATGATCTTTTACCACTTTTATATCTCAAATGGAAGCCTAGATTTCATGGATTTTGAAGGTGTTTACCTCCAGCCCTAACAATTCATCTCTTCTCCACATCCCCATGGACTCCTCGACATCTCTGCTTGGATGCTTCATAGACAGCTCAAAATTAAGATGCTCAACCCTAAGCTCTTAATCATACCCTTAAAACCTGCCTCCCATACAGTGTTCCCAACTTAGTTAATGGCAAATCCATCTTTTCAGTCACTAAGATGTAATCTTTAATTCACTTTTTCTCTCACATGTTTCTCAGGAAATACTTTTTGTTCTTTCTTCAAAATGTGCTGTATGTCATATCTGCTCTTGCCAGCTACATTGTTGTTGCCCTGGACCAGTATCTCCTTTATAAATTAAAACTCTACTGGCATTCTTCCTTTCACATGCCTACGTACCCACCCTGCAATTTATGTTCCACTGAGCCACTAGAGTGATCTTTTCACAACATGAATCAGAGCAAGATAAGGTTCTATCCAAAATTCGGCAATGGTTCTGCATTCACTCAAGTCAAACCAAAGTCTTATAATGATCTACAAGGCACTACATGGCCTGTCCATTCATTCCTCTCTGCCCTATTGTCATCCTCAGTTCATCTCTTTTTCTTCTTTCCTTGACTCATTCTACTACAGTCACACTGGTCTTTTTGTTGTTTCCCAAACACAATGTACCACTGTCTCAGGGACTTAGTATTATCTGCATCCTTTGCCTGGAACGCTTTTTTTTTTTTTTTTCTGGATACTTTCATGGTGTATGCTCTTACCTCCTTCAAGTCTTCCTGAATATCATTTTCTAAGAAAGGGTCACTTAAAATTGCACTGTACTTCCTAAATGTGGGTGGGTTTCATCCAATCATTTGAAGGACTAAATAGAACAAAAATGATCTTTCCTCAAATAAGGGGAAATGCTTCCTGGCCAACTACTTTCAAGGTGGAACATTGGTTTTTCCTGCCTTCACACTGCAACTAAAACATCAACTTTTCCTGGCTGTCAAGTCTAGTGGCCTCCAGGTTGGAACTATACCAGCTCGCCAACTGCAAATCATAGAACTTAGCCTCCATAATCACATAGCCAATTTCTTATAATAAATCTCATTCTACATATGTACACATTCTATTGGTTCCATGTTTCTAGAGAACTCTGATTAATATATACCTACCTATCATCTATTTTTAAAATTTATATTTTTATGCCTCCCTTTACCAAATGTAGGAAGTATGAGAGCAAGGATTTTTATCTGTCTTGTACACTACTTCACTTCATTAACTAGGTCAATGTTGGGCACATGGCTGGGTCTCTGAAAATATTTTTTGATAAATTGAAAACAACTATTAAAGCATTTTTGGCTTTCATAATATATTTCACATACATTTATTTTGAAGATTATTCCAGTTTGCCTTTTGCTTGATGCTATGAATGATTCAGTTTTACATCAAATTTTCTAATGTGTTACTTTTGGTAAATAATATGTACAGGTGGCTCAGAAGCACAATTAATGACATAAAAAGCACATATGTTACCAAAACTATGATGTTCAAACACTTCTGAATGCTTCCTATATATGACCTTACATAATTTTCAAAACATTCCAATGTTACAGAATAGAGAATTGAAATAACTAGTCCAAGATTACACTGTGGCTAAGGGGTTGAGCAAAGATTTGAAGCCTGATACCCTGGCTTAGAAGACCATGACTTTACCACCAGGCAATTCTATGCTATGACAAAATATCTTGTAACTTCTCTCTGAGTTAAATTCAATTAGTAAGCAGGGAATGACTACAAGTCTGCTTTTGTATATCACCACCCAAACGTAATAGAAATTCACTTTTATGTTTCATGTATACATGGGTCCAAAGAAGTGTGCACTTTGCCCACAGGTGGTATGCAAACTTTCCCTAACTTGACAGTGAGATGATCTTTCAGCAAGCCAATTACTCTCATCAGGCTTTCAAATTTTCACAGTCACACCATTGATTTGTCTGGTTTCCAAAATCTGTGCATCTTCTCTTATTTATCCTATATATGTCAAACATTTATTGAATGCCTGTTAGGATTAGGGAGTCATTCTAGGTATAGACATGTAAAATACGGTAGAAATATAAAATAACATTCTTCAGGCACATACCAGAGAATGCAATCATATGTTAAATGCTATCCTTTTCCTAAGTATGTCTACCTATAGTAAGTAAATTTCTGCAAACTAGTTTAAAGGGCATGTTATTCACTTGCTCTTCTAAATTATATAAGTTCAAGTTCTTTTACCATTTCAAGGTTGACTATACCAGGTACACATACTTGGTTAACATTATACCATTTCCATGGCAACTGCATTCACTAAAACACACTTTCAGATTATGTGCTTGACTTGTCAATGACTACTTAGGAGACAGCTATACAAATCCAATTCTGTTTTATTTGTAATATTCTTAAGTCTATGTCTATTAGTCTTCAC